TTAGGAAGCTTCTTGACCTTTCAGAGTTAAGAATTCTCCATTTCATGGATTTTTCCCTTGCTGGGAAGATTTTTTTTTAAGCACAGAATATGTGTACAAGTAGAATATTACAAAAATATTTAAGTCTTGTATAAGTTTTAAAGGAGGGTATTTTATCTTGTCTGGCTTCTATTGTAAGGTAGATACCCATATTTTCAACATTTGAAGTGGTTGAATTCTTATTGTATCTTGTGCTTTTCCTGAATCCTTCCTTCCATAACATTTCAGTTGTGGACATGAAAAAGAAGCTGCTGCTAGAAGATAGTGATTGGCTGGAAGTGGTTGGTGACTGACTTTAGGTTAGGAGACCTTGGTTTCTCAGACCTGACAGATCATTAGCCCCTCTAAGTAAGTGATGGAATTTAGGAAACAAATAAGGACAGAAGGTAAAGTGGTGATGGTCTATACAAGGACTCCCAAAAGTTTGTTTCTCAAGATAAATGAAGGTAAAACCTTTTAGTACATAGATAAAACTTCCCAAAATTCCATATGTGCATAAAATTTCATATAAGTGAAGAGGTTTCACAAGTCTAAACGTTTGGATTGTTTGTATGCTGTTTTTAGCTGAAATAAAAATCCAGCTCTCTGGTGTTCATCTTCCTCCAGTAATTTCAGATTTAATCCCTCATGGCCTGTGAGAATTAATGTCTTAAATTGGAAGTCACTTACTAGAAGAGACATGCTTAGGAAAAAAATTGTTCAATGTTTTTCTTAAGTGGTTTTGTCTTCAGGCTGAAAATCACCAGACTGTAAATCCAGAGTTGCCAGAAAGATCCGTGTTTTTCTTCTGTACTTATTTCATTTATTGATTGGGTATTTCCCTCAGGAAATTTCTACTTTGACAAACAAACATGGTTTCAGAAAAAAATGTTAGCAGTAGAAGCAGCCGCTTTGGCTTCCTATGTTGGTAGAACAAATCACTTGATTTCTACTTTGGCAATTCATATTATTTTCTTTATTACATATTGAGGTAAAAGGAGGTTGTTACACGGCAAACTATTCAAATACAGTTCTTTCTGCACTAATAAATTCTTTCAAGTTTTCCAGAGTTGAAAAATGTGGTATGACCCTTTCTGCACATTCAAAGATGGTGGCAATTTTTGTTTTTTTTTTCCTTACTGGGTAAATATTTCTTTTTTAAAGTATATTTTATTGATTATACTATCACAGTTTTCCCAATTTCTCCCCCCATACGCCCCATCCACCCTGCACCCCCATCCCTCCAGCATCCACCCCCTTAGTTCATGTCCATGGGTTGTACATATAAGTTCTTTGAGTTCTCTGTTTCCTATACCATTTTTGGCCTCTCCTCATCTATTTAATGCCTACTAATTATGCTTCTTCTTCCCTGTACCTTTACCTCCCTATTCCTCTCCCCTCTTTCCCCATTGAAAACCCTCCATGTGATCTCCATTTCTCTGATTCTGTTCCTGTTCTAGTAGTTTGCTTAGTTTTTGTTTTCATTGTTTTTCTTTTTTTTTAGGTTCATTTGTTGATAGTTGGGAGTTTGTTGTCATTTTACTGTTCATATTTTATTTCTGACCCCTCTTGATGATACTAGTACATCACATACAGGTTTCAAAACTCTTTCATGTATTATTTATTCTTTCACATTCAACTTACAGCGGTTCTACAAGACAGCACAGACATTGCTGTAATGACACCGGTGATGATGAGGATCAGAAAAGTTTGATAGATTTTCCATAGCCACGAGGCTAAGACATAGTGGAGCCAGGTCAGAACTTAAGTTTTTAAGTTTGAACTCAGAAAACTTCATTCTGATACAAGTTCAGACCATTACTACTTTTGGCCAAGGCACGATGCATATGATAGGAGTGATATTTTTGCAATTTAGGCTTTTGTGGTACCAGATAGCACTTTATATTTTTATAACTTTCATCAGTGTGATCTCTTGATAGAAGGAGATCTCATTGCTCTTCTTTCCTCTGATTTCCTTAATGATTAATCTTATTTTCTAACCAGAATTTTAAGACCTTACCTAAAAATGATAAATAACACACCAAAAGGATGTATCAACATGTCCTATTTCTAGTGTGGATACTGGTGGATGTAATTTACTGTTAATTCCAAAACAGTGAATTTTGTTTTTTTTAGGGTTTCTGTAACTGAGTTTGCACAGTTGCATTCGGTCAAAGGGGGGGCCATCTCTCAAAGCTCTCTTTCTGCCAAGAAGTGCTCATCACTGCCATTGGGACAGTGAGAGGGGAGAGCAGAGATTCTTCCTGTCGTCTTGTGCCTAGTGGGGCTCCACGCACAGCTGCTACCCAGAGTTGATGATTTCGTCTGGTTATGAAATGCTGTTGCAGAGAAGTATGATGCTAGAAGTAGCAGGGAAATATTTAAAGAAAATGATTTTTCTATTAATTCTTGGGTTTCTCAAGACATGTCCCTTTAACCCATCTTTGTCTCTTGCACTTCTCCATATACAAATAAGTCCAATATCTTCTTATTAATATTGGCCCCTGAGAGCTACTTGACAGAGTCTCCAAGCAAAATAGTATTTTTTCCATTTCTTAAAACTTGGGGGAAACTCTAGAAATGGCTTTTTGTCCTTCATGTTTTTGAGGTTTTAAGCCTACTAGGTATAAAGTAGTCAAGCATGCCCTTTTGATTTTCTTCAATATAAGTGTCCTTTTTTTTGAAATTGAAACAGTGGAATGAAGTGGTTTGTGGCTGACACTGGAGTATCAGCCAAAGAGCAAACTGCAGAAGTCTGGGCCCGCTGCCCCACTTCCCCCAGACAAAGGCAAGACCATATTAAAGAGTGGGAGACCTGGCTGGCGTAGCTCATTGGATTGAGCTGGGGCTGCAAACCAAAGTGTTGCAGGTTCAATTCCCAGTCAGAGCACATGCCTGGGTTGCAGGCCACGGTCCCCAGCAACTGCACATTGATGTTTCTCTCTCTCTCTTTCTCCCTCCCTTCCCTCTCTAAAAATAAATAAATAAAATCTTTTAAAAAAAGAATGGGAGAAAGGATGGCAATGGCTGGCAGATTTCCAGCAAAGTGCAATTTTCATAGTGGTTGCATTTCACAGTCACAAATGTGCCCCCCCCCCACCCTCTGCCCTCACTGTAATTCACATTCATAGTGGAATATTTCTCGCTGTCCCGAGTAAGAGGCATCTCTTTCATACCCATTCACTCTGCCTCAGGGAAGGGCCTCTTCTGGCTTATTCGGTTCTGGGACCAGGATCAAGATGCTGGAGACAGGAGAATTCAAACTGTGGTAGAAGAGGTTTGCTCATGATGTTAACTCATTATTTGCTGAAATTCATCTTGAACACTTTTCCACTGCAGTGAGTTACATAAAATTTGTACAAAAGGTTACAAGTTGCCCCCTCAACCCCCACAGGAGAAATAGTGAGTCAAGACTTAAGTATCCCAACACACCCAAAGCCTTGGCTCTTGGTGGGGCTGATGAAAGTCACCTGGCTGGGTAGGGGGGTGGTAACAGGTGAGAAGCAAAGGTAGGGCTCAGGGGCAGGAATGGGGCAGAGGGGCAGGGGCAGGTCAGGGCCATGAAAGCTGTGTTTGTTTGTTAAGAGTAGTGCATTATCTTAAACGAGTAAAGAAAATAAGAATGAAAAACTTACTTATGGGAAAAAAAGACAAAAGTTTTGGGAATTAAAATAATAAGAGTAGTCACTGGAAAATGTATCCTTTAAATTTCTTTTGAAAAAATTGTTTGGAAAGTATTTTTAAGGTAATATTTTATTTTCTTTTGGAAAAAGAAATCCTGCCCCATTCCCTCCCCCAAGCAAGTGGAGTTGCCACCACCTAATTTATTTCTGTTGTCTTATGAAGAGGTAGATAAAACAAGAGTGAAATGGGGCTTCTAGGAGTAGGTCCATCAGAGGGTGGGACTGGGACAGTGGTCCAGGAGTGCCCCGGATTACAAAGACACCTGAATCACCAGAGAACCTGGTGCTCAGACTCTCAGGACAAAGGATCCTGCTCCACCTTTTCTCCTTCTAGAGCCTACTGCCCCCATGGAGACTGAGATACAATGGAGGTTGTGCATCTTAAAGAAACCATGTTGAAGAGATCTTAGTTCTTGCTTCCCCAGGCTTCCTGGCTTTGGGGCTCAGTGATGGATTCCAGACCAAGCTCCATGTTGCACCTTCAGCCAGCCCCCTCTGGTAGAAGAGGAGGCAGTTCCTCTCCTCACCCTCTGGTCCAACAAAAATATAACAGGTGAGACAGACAGACAGGAGAGAAAGGGGTGAAACATGGGATCCTAGGGCAAGGAAGGCAGAAAGGGCCACCCCTCCCAACCCAACTGATGTGAATAGGGGATCCTGCCATGGCTCCCTCTTCCTCAAGGACAAAGTTTGTGTGGAACATGTCTCAGCTCACTCCTCCTGCCCTATCCTACCCTATGCATGAGTCCCTGCCCTTGGTTCCAACTCACTCTAAGGATTGAAGTAATTAATTAATTTATACACATAGCATCTATCACCTATGGTTACTCAAAACACATGCTCCCAAGGAACTTCCTGGTATTTCATTTAAGAAAAAAATCCTTTCTTTTCTTTTGTCTTCTCAGTCCCAATGCAACCATACTAAAGCACCAGTAGTGATATGGTTTTTTTTAATTACAGATATGATAATGCAAATTTGATTTTTCTCCACAGAGCCCCATATATTAACTGATTTTAGTATTTTTTGGTAAAATGTATGATTTAAAAAAAACAGAAAAAAAGAGAAGTAAATATTCAGGAAAAAACCATGTTAACTTTATTGAAACACTTTCGTTGTTCCTTATAACATTTACTGTCTTGGACCTTGATAGTGTTCTCAAGAAAACTCAAGATACTGAATATATAAAGTTGGAGAAACCCATTTTACCTGAGTTCTTTATGTCTGTGGGAAATGAAAATGTGTTGGATGTTAATCTGCCTAGCAACCTGGGGAAGTTTTATTTTTCTTTGTCCTCTTAGGTGGCCATGTGTGTGGTACAACTGGGCAGGGCTACGTTCCTGCTGACGGAGCCTGTGATCAGCGCCATGACAACCGGGGCTGCCACACATGTCGTGACTTCCCAAGTGAAGTATTTCTTGGGGATGAAAATGCCCTATATATCTGGACCCCTTGGATTCTTTTATGTAAGTTTTCCATATGTTTCTGTTCATCCTTTTTGGATGTGTATTTCACAAAGTTGAATTTGGTTAATTATAATACTGAATTATTTCTTGGGTTTAAATATAATCTTGCAGGGTATTTTAAATGTGATTTAGGATAGTAAACTGTTTAATGAATAATATTTATTAATTTTTGAAACAACTCTATAATAACCAATTGAATATGATATAGTTTGGGAGCTTGATTTGAAAAAAAACAACAAAATTTTCTGTAAGCCAGATATGTTGCCATTTTCTAATGGAAGCCATCTCCTGGGATTGTGGCCAAGTTTGACAACAATACAGCCAACCGCATTCTTTCATTATTGTGGACCCTGGTATGGATCAAATCATAAGCCTGGCCAAAACTGGTGGCTGGAACCCCAATAGCAGACAGTTTTTAAAAGCCTCTTGAGCCCTGGCTGGCATAGCTCAGTGGATTGAGCGCAGGCTGCAAACCAAAGTGTCGCAGGTTCGATTCCCAGTCAGGGTACATGCCTGGGTTGCAGGCCATGACCCCCAGCAACCACACATTGATGTTTTTCTCTCTTTCTCTCCCTCCCTTCCCTCTCTAAAAATAAAAAAAAAGACTCTTGAACCTGACAGGGGAATGTGTGGCCAGCATCAACATATCATGTTCATAACAGTCTGTTGTTCCTGGTCTAGTGGAAGCTGGCCTACAATCCATGACTTTTCAAGAAGTCCTTCTATTGGAGCTTTAAATGCAAATTAATGTCTTATTAATAAACTTGCAGGCTACCAAGGTTCATATTATTTAATTTTGTGCTGTAGAGGAGGAAAAAATATTTTCCTTTTACTATTCTAGGTTCTCAGCTATGGCCACTCTAACAGAAAACAGATTAACAGGAGAAAAACATAAGTGTATTACATGCATATCTAACATATACATGAAAGAAATTCAGGGATGAGTAACTCAATAGAGGTGGCTAGAACTTGGGTTTATATGCTGTCTTCACCTAAAGCAAAGGAAGAAGGATGTGGGGTGGGCAAGCTACCAGAAGGTGACCAGGAAACATACAGTGAACCAGGATAAGGCTGTTATACAGATTTACGTTGCTGCCTTCCCTATCAATCAGAATGTCTTGTGATTTTGAGTTATCCAATTCTCTCTGGTACAGAGAGGAAAACATCCCACAAATGGAGATTTCTTTTATAAATCTAAATATCCCTTTAAAAGGGTAATTTATACTCTGTTTTAAAAATTTACTGTCTTGCTGTTTTTCACAATCATAATCTTAAAATAATCCTTTATGTCAAAGAGGCATATTTTAAGGGTGACATTTTCTGATCTTCTACAATGTAATGTTATATATAATGCATTGCACACATATACATTTACCAGTACGTACAATGTATATACATAACATGAATGTTTCATAATAAGAATATTCCTATTTTTAATTTTTTTTATTTCAATGGTTGAATAGTAACTTAATATATGGAAGTACAATAATATACTTATTAATAAAACAAGAACACTGGAACTGGTCCTGGAAGCTACGTAATTCCAAGTTCTAGGTCAAACAAAAGCAGACCAGAGTAAGACTTTTGGTGATGCCAGGCCTACAAAACCGATCCAAATCAGCACCACATTGTGCCTTGACCTTCTGGCTGGTCAGGCGTGCTCACCTGTGCATGTGCTGTGTAAGGATATATGAGTGGGTTGCAAATTGGTCTCTGCAGATGTATTCACATGTATGATAATCACACACAAATAACCATCCCTCCTTTTACTAGCTGTGTTAAAAGAAGCAGGGTAGCCTGATGTGGGACCCGGAAGTCTTTCAGTTTGTTTTTCTGCTGCATAAAATGCTACATTAAGGTGTTTTGTGTAGGATTTTTAAAAATATTGGTTTTCTTGTGAGGTAAACTGGAAGCTACTTTATTTTTGCCTTGTAGGTCAAATACTGGGTGGCTTTTGGGTGGCTTTTGTAAATTTTTACTCTGAAATGGAATCAGGTTTAGAAATATTTTTAGATGGCTGACTTTAAATTCATTTATTCAGCTAGTGGAAGTCACTGTGCTTTGTGTTGATGGAAAATGAAGAGGAGTTGCTCTTGTTTTTCAATGTCACAGAGCCATGTACCATTAGGTTGAAATGATGCTTTAGTTCTTTGACAAGGTTTCAAAATAAAAGCTGGTATTTCAGTGTCAACAATTGTGATGATCTGGCCCTTAGATTAAGAAGTAATTCTGTATCACGTGTAGGCTACACTGGCACATTAGGAAAGTGAGTTTTGACGTAGAATGTGGTGATGATCAAGTAAGTGCAAATTTGCTCTTGGGTCACTTAGGTGGCATGTGAACCAGCAGACCTGAGCTCTGCACAGAGGCATGGAGCAGAGGACAAGGCAGAGGCTGTGGTCCTGCAGTTACAGGACCTACAGGAGTGTGAATTAATCATACTGGGGTTTTACTCTCTGCACTTCCTGCTTCTGAGTTTTCACAACTGCTATACTTTTTTGAAAACTGCTAAGACAGGTGAGAAAAAAATAATGTGTTACATAAATTTCTTGGAACATAAATTAACATCAAGAACATTTGAGACTCTTGCACAATGAGCCAGTCACCACTCATAATTGTCTCAGCTGAAACACTCATTTTTCTTAAAATAATGCAGGTTTGTCCAATCCAAATGTTCATTCATTGATTCCAGCACAAGCAGTCTTTGCTATCAACTTTAAGAGAAAACACAGCCTTCTACTTTTATTCTGCTCTTAGGTCACTGTAGGCTGGGCTCTCTGTTGTCTGTTGCTATGGTGGTTTCTCGGGTGTCTTCTTTTTGGGAGATGCTTGATTCTGTGTTACCAAAATAATCTAATTCTTTAGTTCAAATAGCTAAAATCTCCATCACTTTCGTTGCTCTGAAGTGGCAGATGTTCTTGCCTCAATGGAACATTTTTAGAGAACAATCTGAATCAGACCCAGGGAGCAGTGTGTTTGATGGAAGCATCAAGCTCAAAGCAATTTTGTACAAGTAAATGAATTAAAGCTTTGCACTGACCATGCATCTGTATTCCACCTTTCCATTCTACAACGATTGAGATGTTTTAGTAAAACCTCACTGAGTTTATTTGGGGACAGATCTTGTGATATTGTGGGTGACCCTAAATTTTCTTTGTATTGTTTCTTATCATTGTAGATATACATATATGTCTTTGAAAACATCCAGTCTGTTCAACTGGAAGCACTGCTCTTATCCTTGGTGAGCATTGTGGTACTTGTTCTGGTCAAAGAGTTGAATGAACGGTTTAAAAGGAAAATTAAAGTTATTCTTCCTGTTGATTTAGTTTTGGTAAGTACAAGATCAACATTTAGCATTCTCCTTTACCAGGTTTGCCAGTGGTTGGGGTAGCCTGCGGAGGTTCATTATATTGTCTACAGTAACCCACAGCTACTTGCATCTTTCATCAATATATACCTAATTTTCATGGCTATGCATTAATGTGAGAACAGGTAAAATTTTGAGTCAGTAATTTGAGGATACATGTTTTCAATTAATAAAGCATTTCTTTTCATTTTTTACATAAATAGAATAACATATGGCCTAAGATTTTAAATAAGGAGACATTTCCAAGGGTAAGACACAAAAGATCTATCATAATTCTTCCTGTAGCAAAAAGTGATACCACATTCTATTGATGCAGCATCTATATATTATATGTAGACATATTATTGATTGACAAATGTCCATTAATGATTGGTAAATTTATTAAAACTTTGTAATTTTTTATTTTTAGACAGAGGGCAAGGGAGAGAGAAAGAAAGGGAGAGGAACATCAGTGTGTGGTTGCCTCTCACGCACCCCACACTGGGGAACCTGGCCCTCAACCCAGGAATGAGCCCCAGCTGGGAGTCAAACCAGTGACCCTTTGCTTCACAGTCTGGTGCTCAGTCCACTGAGCCACACCAGCCAGGGATTATTAAAACTTTTTTTTAACTAACCTAACTTTGCTTTAATGAAAAGCTACCTATGATTTTCACTGGCCAGGGCTGTTCTCTAAGATATTAGTTGTTGTTGTTATACCTGGCAAAGCAAAATATTATACTTTGCTTTTAAGGTTTATGACACTAGAAAAAATACATTTTGAAAGCTTAAGAGCCTCTACTGAGAACCCTTAACTAACAACATTAAGTTGAAAAAGAAATATTAACACAACCATAGTTTGGGTTTTAGTTTTTTTTAATGGTCTTTGAGTTCCTTATACATGTATATGACAAGTGGTGCCTATGCAATTTCACTTATTGAAATATCCCTTCATACTAGTAAAATGACCTAGGTTTACATACATATTAAAGTTAGCACATTAAAAACTGTCTCAGAGGGATATGACACATATCTGTAGAACCAGGATGGATGGCCTCTTTCCATAGCTAGGCCTTGTGTGAATCTACATCTTGATAGTTTGTAGAGATATATCTAACAGATGTTATCTATATAAGGTGTGTGTGTCTATATCAAATAAGCCATAAGATGGATAGTACTATGATTATTGGTAGTATTCACAGCAATAACTGTGAAACATTTTATTTTATTCTAAAGTCTTGTGGGTATTAAGAAATACTTATTATATCTTGGGAAGCACTATTACATAAGTTTCATAAATCCAAAAATTGAAATTAACCTTATGTAAGAAGGCTCTTGAGCTAGAAGTAAAAGTGTTTCTTATTCAAAGCAAAGGTAGTAAGAATTATCCCTATTAAAAAAAATAAAAGGAAACCCTTATGCACTGTTGTTACCTTGAAGGCAGGTTAGAATAGAAAATTCTCCTGCTCCTTTGAGTTCTGCCAGAATATGTCACCACGGGGAAAGCCAGCCTCTTGGCTGCCCCTTTCTACTCCAGCTCTACCCCACCTACAAGGGGATAGAGCTGGAGATACACACACACACACACACACACACACACACACACACACACAGAGGGAGCCAGAGATAAGGGGATATCTATATCTATCTATATCTATGTCTATATCTATGTCTATCTCTACATCTACATATATCTATATCTATATCTATATCTATCTATATCTATCCATCTGTATCTATAGTCTGTCCAGAAAAGGTGCAACAGTTTTTAATATAACAAGAATGGTTTGTGTGACACTGATATAACCTGGCAGCCAAGGAGAGTGCACTGGAATGCACCTGCATAAACAATAATGACTTCATTGTACTAGTCAGTGGGAGTGGTAGATGCTGTTTAGTGAGCATGTGTACTGTGTGGTCATCACATTTAAAATGACTGAGCAAGTAGAGCAATAAATCTGCATCAAATTTTGAGTTATGCTTAAATGTTGCTCCCTGGAAACTGTTTGGATAATTCATAAGGCCAGAGCTATGGGAAACTGGTAATTGGCAGCTTCATCACGACAGTTCGCCCACTCATGCATCACATCTCATGCAGAATTTTTTGGCAAAACATCAGATCACCCAGGTGATGCAGTCCCCCTACAACCCAGATTTGATGCCCTGTGACTTCTGGCTTTTCCCAAAACTAAAATCATCTTTGAAAAGGAAGAGATTTCAGACCATTGGTGAGATTCAGGAAAATACAATGGGCAGCCAGCAGCGAATGACAATTGGGAGGACTGTGTGAGGTCCCACGGTGCCTACTTTGAAGAGGACTGAGGTGTCATTGTTATATGTACAATATTTCTTGTATCTTCTTCAATAAATATTTCTATTTTTATATGACATGGCTGGATGCTTTCTAGACAGACATTTTATATATAAAATTATGTATAATATGTGCATATATACATATATATGCTTCAGTGAATATCCTTGTAACAAGGTATTGTCACATGAATTTAATTATGTTTATAGCTTATTTTCCTTGAAGCTGGCTGTTGAAGCAAAGGTAGCACTTTTTGAAAGGTTTTGGATACATTTTATCAGAGCATCAAAAGATTATATCAAATTTACTCATATGGATGTATATGAGTAAAGTTGATACAATCAAATTGTACAAGGTCTAAGCACTGTGCTAGCTTTGTACACACATATAATATTGAAGTAATATTAAAGACAGACCAGTGAATTGATTGATAAGGGGAAGTTTAATTATGATTTAAAATATAGTAAGGAGCCCTAGCTGGTGTGACTCAGTGGAGTGAGTGCCAGCCTGTGAACCAAAGGGTCTCGGGTTCAATTCCTAGTCTAGGTCACCTGCCTGGGTTGCAGGGCAGGTCCCCAGTAGGGGGCACATGAGAGGCAACCTCACAGTGATGTTTCCCTCCCTTCCCCTCTCTAAAAATAAATAAATATAATCTTTAAAACAAAAGAAAATACTATTCTATCACAATGTTTATAAATTTTAACAGTATAACCTGTAAAGTTTAGTTAGCTTTTAGAAATTTTTCAAGGGTGTTGTGTTTTTTAAATCTATTTGACGTTTTAAAAACCTCTGCAAATTCAGTTAAATATTACCATAAAGAACAGAAATTATAAAAATCTTACAAAATAATATTATTGAGCATTAATTATTAAATATTCCTTATTTTGCTAATGGGATCTTATTACTATTTTTTCTGGCCATGAATACAGTAAATTTTTACTTTAGATAATTGATGTGTCTCTTTTTAACAAAAAACGTGGTATATAAACAATTCTAAACAGTTACCAAAATGATACCATAACCACGTGAAATTTCTAGCATCTATTAAAATTATTAGAAGAATGAAAAGTAATCATGAAAATTCGACGCAAAATTTTAGGGTGGCAGAGCTGCTAAAACAAAGGCTAAACTGGGTTCTGAATGTGCATGTGAAGGTGATCGTGGATAGAGGCAGGGAACACGGGACCTCTCCTGTCCTGTCCTGTGTCATCTAATATATGTCATAAAACAGAGTGGAGAGCACCTGAGACTCCAGGAAGCATGTTTTACTTCAAGAAATAGTAAAAACTCAGAATCTAAAAATACTCAAAGAGATTTGAGGTGATTATTGGTGATTAATATGTGTTAGGAATATCATGCAATGTCTCAAACCCTGCCATTTTATGAAGCATCCCTTCCCGTCACAAGATGAATGTTAACATTGGATTGTCATGTCTGTGCACACACACACACGTACTCTTACAGTCTGTGTGTTGCTTCCCTTACAAGTCAGACAGAATTGGGTTGACATAGGGTAGAATGTTTTTAAAAATTATTATAATGTCATTTAATTTTTGAGACTCTGCAAATTAAGTGCTCTCAAATCTCAGAAGAATTTTTTGAATTTCAAAATTTCCTAATTTTAAAAAATCTGACTAACCACTGCATTTCTCTTGATGATCATGGGACAAATAAAAACTGTTAAAATAGTTTGCAAACAGGTGTTTGAAAGACTGCTAATAATTTTCTTTTTTCTTGTTTTTCAAATGGACCCCATAGATTATTGCTGCATCATTTGCTTGTTATTATACCAATATGGAAAACACATATGGATTAAAAGTAGTTGGTCACATTCCAAAAGGGTAAGGTAGTCTTCTTTCTTTCTTTTTTGTTTGTATGTTAATTAGTTTGTTTTTGCTGGGGGAAAGGACTGGAAGTAGGTAATATGGATTTTATTTCTTTCAAAGGACCTGTAAGAGAGAAAGTTCTAATTAATTTCTATTTTAAGTGACTAATACAACAATGTACATATAGAGAAAGACTAAATTCTTAGACTGTTTACATATAACTAGGGAAGTTGATAACTATTTTATATAGCATTGCTCTAGGTAAAAGATTTGTAAATTATTTACAAAGATATTATTTTAAAAAATGGAGGACATTGAATTTCTAAATTAGAGTCATGCTCTGGGATTTAGTCTTCCCCATTTCTATTACATATTCTTATTTTTATTTCTCTTAAAACACATTAGAAGTACACAAGCATTACCTGAGCTAGCAAACCCATAGGCCTGGATGGTGGATAGGGGTGAGGGAAAGGGTGGAGTGGAGAAGAGGGCATGGTGTTCTTACTGTCTTAAAGCTTCCCTCTGAACTAAGGGGAAGGTTAGCAACAAGACGTGTTCACCCTAAAAGGGCAAACAGTTGTTACAAACATAAGTGAAAGGAAACAAAGTCATCTTCAGGAAGAGGAGTGTGTTTGATGGCTTCTTTTTAATGGGCTATATATACACCAATATTTATCATTTGGGGCTAAAGTTAGTTATTGAGTTCTCTATATCTTTTTGTCTTCCAGTCCCAAATTCTAGTTTCTAAAGACATTAAAATGGAGGGACAAAGGAAAAATTTCAGAGATTAAAAAAAGAATTTTTAGCACTGGCTGGTGTAGCTCAGTGGATTGAGTGCGGGCTGGGAACCAAAGTGTCCCAGGTTCGATTCCCAGCCAGGGTACATGCCTGGGTTGCAGGCCATAACCCCCAGCAACCGCACATTGATGTTTCTCTCTCTCTCTCTCTCTCTCTCTCTCTCTCTCTCTCTCTCTCTCTCTCCCTCCCTTCTCTCTCTAAAATTAAATAAACAAAATCTTTAAAAAAAAGAATTTTTAAAAAGTCTTTCTTTAGCCTTTATGCAGCTACAGGTTAATGGAGAGTGTCTGAGTTCCCACCTTGAAAAGTGGGAAAGTAGATTAAAGTCAGTTTCTTGTTTCTTTCTGGGTCATTTTATTGTTCTTAGTAATTCGGTAAGCTCAACTTTCATGAAATAATTCTTATCCTTTGAATTGGTAGGACTTTATGCATATATTTTAGTGCATGCAATGCTACGAGTCCACTGGTTTTGGGGGTAAACTGTAGCAAGTGAATAAAACAAGTGTGCCACTTCTTCATCCGCTACAATTGCCCCTTATTTTGAGTGAACTTTCCAGACCCAGCCTCTTAAGAAACCAGTGAAAGAGTGTGGCATTGGAATTAGATGGAGCTGCGGTGGAATCTCAGCTCTGTCATTCACTGTGATTTAGAACATTCCTTAACCTTTCTCAGATGGTTTCTTCTCCACACAGTTACTACAGGAGGGCTGAGCATGCCACTTACATACTAGGTACTAAATCAACATGTGTTTCATTGGGGATAAATAAATGATGATACTTCGTTTGGTGCAAGTGGTTTTCAATAGTCAGGTACTAGCTGAAGAACTATTTTAAGTAGTTCTTCAAAATGAGAAAAAGTTACCTGTGGTCCTGTACTTTGCAATAGAGGGTCAATGGAGCCTTTATACATATTTTTCCTGGCATATGCGATGCATAGTTAAGTGTGCTGTGAAGGGACCAAGTTAAAAATGTAATTAAGATTATGAATCAATGGCAAGTTCAAGGATTGACTCAAGAATTACAGCTCACAGTAAACTAGTGTTCTCATACAGCACCATAGTGTTCGAGGAAGGGAAGGAAGATGGTCTGTAATGACCACCGAAGAAATGTTTGTAAAGGTTCACGTGCAAGGCTCCCGATGTGCTTCTGTTCTGATACAGACCATTTGTGTTGATGGACCCCGGTGCAAGTGAGAGGAGTTGCTCCTGTGGTGTTTCTTGTGGTTTTGTTTTCCTGTTAAATAATGTTGAAAACAAAGGGCTCCTAAAAGCAAGGCTGCTTGGTTTTCTCAGGGGTATTTTACTTATTCTATGTAACTTCAGAGTCATTACCACCATTGAATTCAATGCAAGTTGTTACAGAAATTACATGACAGTTGACGACTTCACTGTCATGTTTCTCTCCACAGAATTCCTTCCCCTCACGCTCCCCCAATGAACATCCTCTCTGCAGTGATCACTGAGGCGTTCGGAGTGGCACTTGTAGGCTATGCGGCCTCACTGGCTCTTGCTCAAGGATCTGCCAAAAAGTTCAAATATGCAGTTGATGACAACCAGGTGGAGTATGCCCTGGTCCCTCTCCACAGCTACTGTACCCTTGTGCCGTGCACTCCCTCCCAGATGCTGAGCATGTTGAACTTTTGAAAAATATAACTTTCCTAAGTGTACAACAACAGTAGATAGGACAAAACAAAAGAAGAAAATTTCTAAATCATTCATACAAAGCTGAAAATCTGTCCTTCATGGGTTGGTTTATAATTTTATTTCATTTTTAGAAAGAGGAACATCTCGATTTTCTTTTAAATTTACTTTTAGGAGAGGATCTAAATATATTATCATTGAGTATTTACTTTTAAAAACTATGGATTTTAAAATATAGATAATACTAGTATTATTATTCTTAGTAAAAGACTAAAAGATGTGAGTGTGTATTTTTAGAATGCTGAGTGATGAAGATAATGTTGATCAAATTTTCATATTTGTGAATCTACTTCCCCCACTGTCTTGTTTTATGGCCTGTGACCCTACATTCCTACAGGGTCTGCAGAGACAGTGGTGGAGTATTGGTTATAAATGCCAAATTACCTGTCTATGCCTTACTCTGACACTACATACCCTTAATTATTTCTGGGTCCCAATTTTGTCATCTGTATACAAGCAGATACACTCATTCAACAGATGTGTGTTGAATCCTACTAATGTGCCAGGCACTGGTCTAGGAACAAGGGATAGATACCCCAGCACACAGCACAGACCACACGTTTTCTCACCTCAGACTCTCCCAGAGGCACACCCTCGTACTGAGATTAAAAATCTCTTTACCAAGGTTTGCAAGGCTCTGCATGACGTGCCCCCATCCTCTTTTTCTTGGATTTCCTATCCCTGTCTACTCTGTTCTAGCCTCACTTGCTGCCTTGCTTTTCCTTCCACCCACTAGTCATGATTCTGGCTCAGGACATTTGTGCTTGCTCTTCCCTTTTCCAGAAAACTCTTCCCCCAGGTATTTACCTGCTTCCCTTATTTAAGTGTTCCCTTCTCAGGGAAGCCTTCATTGGGAAGCTAAAGTCCTAAACTCCAGATCTTCTACTCCCTCCTCTGCCTTACTTGGCACATTCATCTTGTTCACTGTTGGCATTCCCTCACTAGAATGTCCGTTCTCTGAGGGCAGCAATATTTGTCTGGGCTGTTCACTGGTCACAGGAAAAGAAGAAGAACATTAGGAGATTTGTACAGAAATCTGGGTGAAATGTGATGACTTGTACCAGGATGTAGCAATGGAGGAGAAGGGAGGTGGGGGGATTCTGCGTTGTATGTAGATGCCATTAGGGAAAAAGGAAAGGAATCAAAAGCAGCGTCATGTGCCACTTAATGATGGGGATGCATATTGAGAAAGGTGTTGTTAGACTTTTTTGGTCATTTTTCAAACATCACAGAGTTGTGTTACACAAATGTAGATGGTATGATTTACTACACACCTCCACTATATGGTACAGCCTATTACTCCTGGGCTACAACCCTGTGTAGCACATTATTGTACAAAACAACATAAGATTAAATCAAGCACAAGAAAAAATTATATAATCAAGAGACGCAGTAAACACGAGATGTATGAGGCTGCTGCTAATCTAACAGGGCATGCTGTTTTCCAGCAAAACCCTTTTTTATTAAGTGAAAAGAGTATAGTTTAAAATAACAATAAAAAGTATAATATAGTAAATAACATAAATGAGGAACATAGTCGTTTATTATTAGGTATTATGTACCATACATAATTATATGTGTATGCTTTATACAGCTGGCAGTGCCTTAGGTTTGCTTATACCAGCATCAGCACAAACATGTGATTAGTATGTTGCTCTATGATATTGTAATGGTTGCAGATGTCACTAGGTGATAGGGATTTTTCATCTCTATACAGTCTTATGGGATCACTATTTATATGTCATCTATCACTGACTGAAAGATCATTTTGAAGTGCAAACTATATGTGTAAAGCTTTTGGCCCAAGCCTTTGCTATCTGAGCTGGAGGAGAACTGGGGAGGACAAGGTTGAGGGTAGTGGCAACAGCCCGATTACGTTTGGGATACCTGTTAGCCATCCAAGTGGCAATGACTGAGTAGCAGGTTGGCTGTATGAGTCTGAAGTTTAGAAGTGTGGTTCAGGCCAGAGAGATAAGTTTGGGAATTAATAATGTGTATTTGGGTAGCTAAGATATAGATAGAGAAGTGGTTGAATATTTGTGATTGGCCTGAAGAGAAGGAACCACAAAGGAAATTGAGAAGTGGTGGCCAGGGAAGAAGGAGGAAACCAGGAAAGTGTGAGGTCCTAGAAGGGCCTACCATGAGACTTTAAGGAGGAGAAAGAAAGAAATTGTGTTAAATGCTGCTTTTAGGCCAAGTCAGGTAGGAATGACCCATTGGATGTAGCGTTGGGAAGGCCCTGAAGTGGTGGAAACAAAAGCCTTGCTTATAGTGACTAAAATATAGGAAAGAAATTTGCCACAGAGACAATAACTACCTTGTACTTTCCTATAAGGTGGTTATGGGGATTAAATGAGTAAGGTGCTTCGAATGGTTTCTGGCTCATATAATCACTCAGTAAATTTTTTTTTTACAATGGTTAAATCACAACCAGCAGAGAGAACAGAAATTGAGTACAAACAAGTCTCATTGTTTGACAGGCTGCACCTGTGGTCTATAAAAGTCGATTGGTATTAACAAATGATATGTTCTCATGTTATCCATCTTATAGGAACTTTTGGCTCATGGCCTCAGCAACGTGATTTCTTCCTTCTTCTTCTGCATACCGAGCGCCGCCGCCATGGGAAGGACCGCTGGCCTCTACAGCACAGGAGCAAAGACACAGGTAACTTTTCTGTGTAGCGAGGAGAGCGGAGCTGCCCGGCCTTTCCTCTTCTGGGAGGGAGTGGTAAGAGTGAGCTTCTACCTAAAGTCCAGAAAATATTTTTACTTCTTTGATTTTTTCTAACTAGTTTTAAGGAATCCTGTCTCCCTTCTCGTTCTTGTACCAAGCTTTACTGCTGGCAGCCTTTGAACCAGAGCTCTCTCTAATGGAGCCTCTGACTTTATTTGCTCAGCTAATCAATTCAAAATTTTTCCAATTTTGTTCACTTCCTTTAAATAAAATGAAATCAATTATACGCAAAATTTGTCACTGACACTGGAATTTCTGTATGAATAGATGTATAAGTATTTAAATAGGTAAAAAGATGTATGTGCATATTTGAGGTTAAGGAAACAATTATTATATTTTTAGGAACTCAAGTCAGCTTGACATTTGAGTGTCTCTTATACACCAAGTGTTGTGCTGGGTGCTGGTTAGAGGACAGTGATGACCATGAAGATAATCTGTCATGATGATCACAATGGTAGCATTGGTGGGAGCGCACGCGTATATTGACTTACAGGCCAGGAACGTCACGTCACACTTTCTATGTAAATAAACTCATTTAACCCTGTAGGCAACTCTGAAGAAAGTATAATTATTATTCTCAGTTTCCAAATGATGATGTTGAAGGAAAGAAGGTTCCAGCAAATTGCCCAGGTCACAGAGTTAGTGACTTGTAGAGCTGGAATTTTAACACAGCTAGATTTACTCCAAATCTTGCACTGTTAACCACTGTTCTGTGCAAACATCATGTATGTGTTAATATAGAAATTAAAGTTATCTTCTAATTTTATTAAAACAATTCACATTTGTTTAAAATTGGAATTGCATAATAATTTATACAATATTTTATGTAATACTTCAAACAGTTTTAGGAGTCTGCCTTATAATTAAGTATTTTTGGGGGGGAAGGTTAAAAGAATAAATTGGGAAAGGATATAGTTCTTGATCTTGGAAAGCAAATGGCTTGGAGAAAGGTGATGAACAGATATTAAAATATAGCCTAAAACTAATCAAATTATTGATGAATACTAATTAATGGAGCATAGGGGAAGCAGCAAAAATCTGAATGTATAATAATTTGAAAAATAATTGTCACAATTCATCAGCTAAGATATGAAATCCTTATCTACACTCATTTTACATGGTAATTTAATTGATCTTTTATGCAGTTAGTGATTTCAAGCATAGGTTCATCATGTGTATTGGCATAAACATTTTTTTGAAAATGATATTCTCAGATGTTTATTATCCAAATTTGAATGTTTAATATGTAATGCATTTATTTACTCATTTTTAATGAATTTATTGTAGTAACATAGATTGAATTATATAGGTTTTAGGTGTACGCTTCTAAAATACATCATCTTTATACTGTATCATGAGCATACAATCTCTCTCTCAATGGAATATATGGTAAGTGTATATATAGCTTCGTAAGAAACTGTGGAAGTGTTTTTTTCAGGAATGTCTGAGAACACTAGTTGTTCTGAATCCTTGCCAGCCCTTAATATTAATTGATTACTTGCTTATTTCTATATTTATTTTTAATGTTAGTCATTCTAATACAACCTGATTCCCTTTGACTTCTCCATAATGATATTCTAGTCATCTCTATAGTCTAGTGAAAGCCCTCTTTTCTCCTGTCAGGCTGACAGTTTTGCCAAATGTTTCTGTTAAGTCATGAACATTTGTTTATGTGAAATCAGTTCTCCATTAAGTGCAGCATAGCAAGAGTCAGGTTATTTGGATTTCCTTTTGTCAGCAGGTTGAGTTGGGTTAGAAGATGATACTAATCACTTTTCAGGATTAATAAAATTAGTCTGTTCCGCTGCAGAGATTTCTCCCATAATCCTATATAACTACTTCATTGTAGATGCCTTTCTAACAACTCCAAAGAGGAGAGTAAATATTTCAGTGAAAACTTATCATCAACACAGAAAAACTTTAAGCCAAATATACAATTATTACCCACATTGCTCCCTGGGAAGTGAGGAGGGCAGTAAAGCCGAACAGCTATGGGCTAAAGGACTTTTAATTGAAATGCTGCTTTTACTGTTAAACAACAGCAACAACAAAAAGCCATTGCTGTCATGTGTCATAAAAATTGAGAGTGTCCTGTTTTTTAAATTTTTTGCATGAAATTGCTTTTCTGTCATCACTGACTTCTTATATGATGCCAACTTGTTGGATGTTGTGTTTGATTTCTTTTAGCTGCAAAATACAGATAATGATGGTTTATGTAATTTTATAATGATATGCCAACATTTTGTTTTTTTTTTCTAGTCAAGATGACCTATGAATTATATTCCCCCCATAACTTTGGAATGATAAGAAAGTTCAAGGTTTTCTTTTTTATTTGTCTTGTATTTTACAGGTGGCTTGTCTAATATCTTGCATTTTTGTCCTGATAGTCATTTATGCCCTAGGACCTTTGCTTTACTGGCTGCCAATGGTATAGTAGTGCTTTTTCATGATCTACTTTTTAAGTTTACTTTTGATGAGAATAAATGTATATTAAAATTTCTTACAAGAGCAACTTCAATAATCATTAATGACCCATATGTCATTGATGTGACATAAGTAATGGTTGAATGGAGGAGAGGTGGGAAAAGGCCACATTTGATGGGGGAGGAATAGGAGTTTTCTAATTCTCAGGCTCTTGTATAAAAATGGCATAGTGGGATTAGATTTATTCTGTGTTCATTTGGAGGGTGGAACTAGGCAATATCTCTTATAAGAAATAGACTTTGGAAGGATTTTTTTTTAGATTGGATATTCATTGCCTTTACTTTTTTTCCAATTTTTTCTCTGCTTTTTTTCCCTACATTTTTTATTGTTGTTCAAGTATAGTTGTCTCCATTTCCCCCACTTCCCACCCTTGATCCTACCTGCCCTTTGGTTTTGTCCTTTATAACATGTTCCTGAAAACCCTTCCCCCTTTCCCCTCCATTATCCCCTCCCTCCTCCTCTCTGGTACTGTCCACTTGTTCTTAATTTCAGTGTCTCTGGTTATATTTTGCTTGCTTGTTTGTTTTGTTGATTAGGTTCCACTTATAGGTGAGATCATATGGTATTTGTTGTCCACTGCCTGGCTTATTTCACTTAACTTATACTGTTAGACAAAGTGTTCTGGGCAAGAAAGTAGGGAACAAAATACATCTTGCCAACTTTGACACATTCTTATGAAAAATGACTCAGAACACTAGTACCAATGGTTCACCTTGTATTTCATAAGCCCAAGGCACCAAAGTTACATGAGTAAGATTATGGTTTTCAGAGAACCAGAGACTGTCTCAGTCCTTTCTTGTTCTAAGTCTTCATTCATATAGTGAGATTATATAATTTCTACTGGAGGATTTTTCAACAATCAAGTTCACATTTCTAGAGAGTTTTATCTTTAAGGTGAAACCAGGTAATTGATAAGTCAATTATAAAGAAAAACATGATATAAATATAAATATTTATTTTGTAACAAACAAATTTCAAACAAATGGTGGTGAATAATTATAGAGTTAAGAGGACAATCAGCATTATAACATCCACACTTACCATTCATTACTTTTCTTTTTCCTTTTTTCTAATTTTTTAGAGTGATATAAATTTTACTCTGTGGTTTTCTAGAATTGATATTATATTCCTGAAGTGTAATAATAGATTAGTTCTAAACAAAAGATATTACATTATTCTTCTAAATGGTTATTGCTTTTTTCTTGTAAGTACTTTAAAAACAAAGAGGGAAAAACACCTTGGTTCTTTTAAATTGTGATTAAAATATTATCTTGCTTTTTCATCAACCTGTTTCTTATTTGTAGTGTGTTCTTGCAAGTATTATTGTTGTAGGACTGAAGGGAATGCTCATACAGTTTCGGGATTTAAAAAAATACTGGAATGTGGATAAAATCGATTGGGTAAGTAGAAATTTAACCCAAACTTTTCTCCCTTGACTTAACCACATGTAACAAAATAAATTTAGCACTTTCATTTGCAGAAAGTAGTTTTAGTCATTTAAGACTTGTATACTTTATAAACTACCATTAATTTTTTCAAAATCTTAATAAATACATTAAAATGTAAAGTGTCTTTATAAGAAACAAACATGGAATTTTGTCAAATTTTGATTGATGTGTTGTTTGAGAAAATTTAAAGAAACTAACTAACTTGAGTGGGTTCCTAATTTCTGCTAGGAATTAATTTTGGCAGTAAAACTCACCAAGGAAGTGCACACTAATAGAAATATGACCATTTATAACATGGGTGAAAAATCAGCATTAATCACTAAGGCATGTATGCCACAGTATTCTAAGGTGAAAATCTTAATAGTGGCCATATTCATTCTAAATACAAAAGTTTCATTAGTTGTATTCTAAGTGGGCTACATTGAGAGGATCATTGTTAATAGGATATTGCCAGAAACAGATTAAGTTATACTAAGCGATGATAAAGTGTGGTTTCTAATAACAGAGATATCTGACATACTTACTCCAGAGAAATATGTCTATGCAAGAGCATCCAGAATTTTTTTTTCCTCTGCAATATGGGTGGAGTGTTTAATGAGTACTTTTTGTTTAGCTCTGTTATGACATTCACCATATTGAAATACAATTATCTATGTATTCCCCTCCTTCAGATTCTTTGAGAGACTTTGAGGATTCTTTATGCTGGTGCCTACTTTCATAAAACTCCTCCTAGGGCTCAGTATTACCTAGCTCCTACCAAAGTATAATGTTGAGGGCCATTGGTAATGCAAAGAATTACTTGTGTAGGAAGCAGGCATGGAAACATTAACTTACACAAGGCATACTACAACATGTCCTAGAAGCAAAAGTACAGACTTAATGCTGGGGAGAAACAGAGGCTGGGGCATTTAATTTGGGTTGGGTTAATATGAAAGACTCACAGCAGAGCTGAAATGTGAACCGAGACTTGAAGGAACAGCATTTTGTAGGCAAACAATTAAGCCAAAATTAGCTGGATTAATGGAAGATTGTGACTTCTTAAAGGTGATGTATGTGAAGTAGCACAAGGAAATAGAGAATGAGAAGATGCAAACTAAATTATCAAGCTATTTGACAGTCCTATTATAAAGGTATTTCTAAAGAACATATTAATCGCTTAAGAGGGAACATATTACCATATTTGAAGGGGAGAGATATCAGAAGGAATTTCTTTTAAGAATTATGGGTAGAACATACAGTGTGAGGGTGGGAGTAGAAGCAGATGGAGTTGGAAAATTTGAGAATGGGTTGGACTGAGGAAGGCTGCTCATGTCCTACAAAGAAGCAAGACTAGACTTCACCCTAAAGACAGTGAGGCATCACTGCAAAGGGAAATAGGGATAAGATCTTTGTATTAGAAAGGTGACTTGAGAAAGATGAGTCAAACTGATGAGGTAGGCAGCAGTTGGAGCATTGGAGTAATTCAGGCAAACACATGAGGATGGCTTGAACCAAAAGTGAGACCATGAGGTTCAAGTGGAGGAAACAGATTGGAAAAATATTAAAAATATTACGTTAGTTAGCTCTCACCACCAATTTGTCATATAATGTGCAATGTTCTAGAATGACTTCTAGGTTTCCAGATAGTAGCATCAGAGGAGAAAGATGGTGTTGTTTCTTGAGTTATAGAACATAGAATATTGTTTAAATGCATTTAGTGGTTACCTTTAGTCTTTTATTTTTTAATTGTGGGTTCTCAATCCTGATTTATTAATTTTCATTTATCTCTTTGTTTTCTGTATGTCATCACTCAGCAGCTTTCTGAGAAGACTCATGTGGTTTTTATTCCCTGAGATATTGCACAGTGAAAATATCTATCAGTTTTCTTTTTATACTAGAAGAAAGTTTTTTGCTCAGTCTAAAATGCTTTCCCTCAGAACTTTTTAGACTTGAAACTATCTTCAGACATTAAAAGATAAGGCAGATAAATCACATGTTAATATGATTTTTTGGTATTTTATGTTTGTTTTTCCAAAGGGGTGCTCAATGAGGTTCTTTCTTGCCCAGGAAGTTTGGTCACATTATCAGAAAATTTCTCTTAGTTGAATACCCATTATTAAATTTCTATCAGGGTGACATATCCTTTTGATCTCAGAATGAAGATTATATACACATTTTTTCTAATATATCTTCCATTATCTTTTCAAACCTAACATGTTTTTTTCTCTTAATAAACTATATATTTTCAATCTTATTTTTACTTTCATCTTATATGTACCTTTCTGCATAATTATTTTGGGGGTATGGTTTCTCTGGACTGGTCACTGTATCTCTGATTATGTATTTCTGACTGTGACTGTCTCATTTTTTTTTAGCTTCAAATATGACTTCTATCTCTGTGATGGCTTTATTTCTGTTTAATTTCTTTCCAAAATTCTTCCAGTCTCCTTTTTATCTCCTGTTTATATTTTTAATTATATTTTTCCTACTTTGACTCTTCACATCTATTTTTAAAGGTTTTCACTGTCAAAATTATATTACCTATTATGTCTAAACCTATGCTCCATTTTATTATTTTTTCCTTTATTTTACTCACTTCTATGAATAAGTCCTTTGATGATTCCTTTATGGTTATAATATATTTTTAGTGGACTTAGCTAATTGCTGAAAAATAATGTGGGGAGGCTTGGACAGGAAGTGAGGTGGAGCAGCCCACAGCTCTGATTTGGGTGTGTACTCTGAAGATTTGTTCCTAGTTACAGCAAAGCCTCACAAATCACAGGCTCTGTGGTGATCTGACATTTGTTGTCTCCTCTCAGTTCTTTACTTTGCTTCACTTTACAAAGGTAATTTTGGCAGCAGTCTGGCAAATGGTTTACAGGGCTAATAATTAAAGGAGATAGTTAAGTAGGAGGCTCTCAGAATAGTCTAGGAAAGCAAAGTGTGAACTAGAGAATTATCAGTGAATTGAGGAGAGGTTATGATTGGAGATTTTTTATATTAATAATTGATGGAACTTGGGAAATGACTAGACAAATAGATGAAAAAGGAGAAATAGTAAAATATGATTCCAAGATTTCTTATTGCAGTGTGTTGAAGAATATTTGGGTTATAACTGAAAGAACATTGGAGAAAGGGCAGGTTTGGTGCTCAAGTTAGTTTGCATTTGGACATATTAAGTTTGAAGGTATTTGGTAGGTAGTTTGAAAAAATGGTTTAATGCTTAGAATTGTTAGTCACCTAGATAGAGGTTAATAGTTGAAAACTTGAAGTAGGCAGTGCAGTTTGGGCAAATAAGGTTGAAAAGATGACATGAATATATGGCAGATGCATAGATGCATTATGATTAAATGTGACCTTGAGTTTAGTTTGTCAAGAGCCTCCAATAGTTGAGGCATCTTCTAGTTGATAATGACTCAACTATGGATTACTGGCATGTGATTTGAATGTAGCATTTGTAGTGAAAATGTTACACAGACTCTTTTGTGGATATAGGATATTATTCAGTAGTCAGAATGTGTCTAGATTACTCAATAAATAGAATAGACCTAAAATATGGAAGTAAAGTTACCAAAGATATGTGTGTTTGTGTGAAAGTTGAGAGTTAAATGTTTAAAAAATTGGGTAAGCAGTTATCACATGAAAAAATTAGAAATTTTTGTATCTTTAAATCTTTTACAGCTTAACAATGATTCTACTTTAGTTACAGATCAAAACTCTCTTTGAGGTAATGAGAAAATAGGGATCCAAAGTAGAGGCCTGACCCTGGGCACAGAACTGAATTTGAGTAACTGAACAGCGGGGATAGAAGTCAGACCTTCAGAAATTGAATAATATGAATCAGTCATCAAAACACATAGGCTGACGGATGGCTCCGGGATAGGTGGACTGACTGAGTAGCTGCTATACTGTGCTTTACACTGATGCATTTTCTTTAGGGAGCAAGGGTTTGTGTGTTCCCAATTTGAGGTCAGCTTTGGGGTTAGTTTGTGTTTAGGGCCTGTGAGTACAAAATAGGAAAAGAATAAAGTAAGAACACATAATGAAAAAAATAAGTGCCCAGGAGCTAACCAATTCCTTATGACTGTGACAACCAGCATTTGGGTCTTTAATAGGAATTGCTATGGAACAGTGCTGGCACTTGTTCTAACCAAATTACTGGCCTATGTGATTAATTTCCATTTGATATTTTTTCCAAGCTATAAATGTAGCCCTGGGAAATAACTAAGCATTATAAGCCTGGCTAACAACAGATGATGTTGTGGGAGAGTAAATATGCTTTAAAAATGGAACCAGATGGTATCAAAATTGTTGGTGCTCTGGAGAATCACGGCCTCCAGGCTCTGTGGTTTCTAGAATGGCAAACACCAAGGTCCTCAGGTTCCTGTGCTCTATTAAATTATGCAGGTTGGCCAGGAGAAATTGGATTTATAAGGCTTTTGCCACACCCACGCAGGTTAAGTCAGCATTAGGGGATGAGTGAGAAACAACAATCACGGCAAGTTGAAGTAATGATCAAACTTTGCGACCTAATTTTGTATATGATATAGATAGTGATATATGATACAGATATAGAGAATACATTAGGATAGAAAAAAAACATACTGTGCACACATAAAAGATTCAAGTGACTGTCTGTTCACCTGAACAGAGGGACAACATCTCAGCATCTGACCTATTAGATGACTGCCTGAAGATGATGTGATAATAAGCACTAATTTAACATTATATTTCAGGTGATGGATCGTAACATGAGAACACTTAAAACATGTGTTTTCTTTTGCTCCAGAATGCTTGTTTCTTTTATGTCAAAGTAATTTTACAGATAAAAATCCCTCTTCTTTCAAGGGCTTAGCTTTTTGAAATAGCCCATCATTAAGAAAACTTTCAAGCTCAGTGTGGATAAATAACACAAAGGAAAAGTATTTCAAGTAAAAAACAGAATGTGCTTTAGAAACACTGGTTTCAAACTTACGTGAAAAAAACCATCCCCTGCCGTGAAAGTCTTTGATAAAACTGCAATGGTTTTGGAATTCCAACTAAGGGAGAAATAGTATTTTATTGCCATCTTTTGAAGCATTCCCAAGAACTAAGTTGGCCCTCATATTTTAGCTTTCACAATTTCAAAAAAAGTGGCCCCTTGTAGATAAAGTAGTGACAATCTTTGGAGTGGCTGATCTAAAAGTGACTTTGGTCACATTGTTAGATTTCAGTCTTGTGGAACAATAAACTACATTAGTTTTTTTGTATAGAAAATAGATTATTGCTGGGAATGAACAAAAAGCTGCACACAATTACTTATAATATAGCATTCAACGAGAAAACAATGAGAAATTATGACATGCTTTGAAACCCTACACATCAACCAACTATTTACACATCTTAAATACAATGTTTGTTGGAGTTTGAACTAAGTATTGGCAGTGTCTAGAAATAAAAGAACATAACTTTTTCTTACCTCTGCTTTTGAGAGTCTGATGGGTGTAGAATTTGCCTGGGCTTCTGTTTTATCACATTTCAAATAATATTTTCTTACTGAGAGATTTGGTCACAGAAATGTTGCAGATTAAAATTGTGAGGAATTTAGCACTTATGAGAAAGAAGAAAATACCAAAGGACCCATATCTTTTTTCTTTGTTTCTCTTTCAGGGCATATGGGTCAGCACATATGTATTTACAATATGTTTTGCTGCCAACGTGGGGCTGTTGTTTGGTGTTGTCTGTACTGTAGCTATTGTGATTGGTCGCTTGTCAAGGTAAGATCTTACTTAAATGTTCTGTTGACTATGACATAGCAGCAAAGTAGATAGTGTTACCAGTTACTTTTATTTCTGTGGATTATATGGTATATATATCTCATGTTTTATTTGGTATCAGAGAATTGGAGAAAAATAAAGGTTTTATCTACATATAGTACATAATGTTCTTTTTAAAAAGATTTTATTTATTTATTTTTCGAGAGAGGGAAAAGGAGGGAGAAAGAGAGGGAGAGAAACATCAGTGTGTGGTTGCCTCTCATAGGCCCCCAACTGGGGAGCTGGCTCACAACCCAGGCATGTGCCCTGACTGAGAATTAAACCGGTGACCCTTTGGTTCAACAGCCATCACTCCATCCACTGAGCCACAGGGCTGATAATCCACAGGGCTAACAGTAATGTTGTTCTTAATTAAGAGAAATATTTTGTCAGCACCATAAAATAGAATATATAAAATCTATTAAAGTAAAAAAAGTAATTCCATTGCTATACACTGTATTGCAGCAGTATTTTTAATTAAGGAAAGAGATGCAATATACAATGAGACACAAACCATATAACAGTTTAATCACTTAGAAAATCAGAACCAACAAATTTAATTTTTCAGAAGCTATATCTATATACTTTTATCCAATTTACTGAAGAAAACATTCTCTCTTTTTAACTTTTTACTGTGAGCAGTTCTATCTCTGTTTTCCATCTGATAATGGTTTTACTCACTTTTTAGTCTTCCCTTGAAATTCTTTGTACAGTAATGTATTCTTTTTTATAATTTTCTTTTTTGGTTACATCTTATATTTAATAATATTTGTGTTAGTTTCAGGTGTACAGAAGAGTGGTTAGATAGTCATATACTTTACAAAGTACTCTCTCCCTATATTTCCAGTACCCATGTGGCACCATACAGTTATAATAATATTATTAACCATATTCCCTATGCTGTACTTTATATCTCCATGATTTTTTAACTTATATTTTATTGATTATGCTATTGCAGTTGTCTCAGTCCCCCCCCTTTTCCCTCTCCACCTAGCTCCCCCCACTCCCTCAGGCAATCCCCACACCTTTGTTCATGTCCATTGGTCATGCATGTAAGTTCTTTGGATACTCCAATTCCTATGCTGCACTTTACATCCCCATGGCTATTCTGTAACCACCAATTTGTACTTCTTACTCCTCCCATTTCTTCACCCCTTCCCCCAAACCACCGTGCCATCTCACAAACATCAAAACTCTCCATATCCATGATTCTGTCATTTCTGATCTTGTTTGCTAATTTTTTAATATTTGATTGTTATATATTTATTGCCATTTTATTGTTCACAGTTTTGATCTTCTTTTTCTTAAATAAGTCCCTTTAATACTTGGTATAATAATTGTTTGGTGATGATGAACTCCTTTAGCATGTTTCTTTTGTGTGTGTGTGTCTGAAAAGCTCCTTATCTGCCCTTCGATTCTAAATGGTAGCTTTGCTGGGTAGAGCAATCTTGGATGTAGGTTTCTGCTTGTCATAACTTTGAATATTTTTTGCCAGTCCCTTCTAGCCTGCAGCTTTTCTTTTGAGAAACCTGCTGACAGTCTAATGGGAATTCCCCTGTAGGTAACAAACTGCTTTTCTCTTGCTGCTTTTAAGATTCTCTCTTTACCTTTAACCTTTGGCATTTTAATTATGATGTATCTTGGAGTGGGCCTCTTTGCACCCATCTTGTTTCTGACTCTCTGCACTTCCTGGACTTGCACGTCTATTTTCTTCACCAAATTAGGGAAGTTTTCTTTTATTGTTTTTTTCAAATAGATTTCCAATTTCTTGCTCTTTCTCTTCTCCCTCTGGCACCTTTGTGATGTGAATGTTGGAATGGTTGAAGTTGTCCCAGAGGCTTTTTATACTATCCTCATTTTTTTCTTCTTTTTATTCTGATTGGTTGTATTTTGCTTCCTTATGTTCCATATCATTGATTTGATTCTAAGATTCATCCACTCTCTTGCTGTTTCAATGTAAATAGTTTTTTATTTCAATTAGTGTATCCTTCATTTCTGACTGGTTCTTTTTTATGCTGTTGAGTTCCTCACTAATTTTCTTGAGCATCCTTTTAACCAGTGTTTTGAACTCTGCATCTGATAGATTGCTTATCTCATTTTGTTTAGTTCTTTTTCTAGAGTTTTGATCTGTTCTTTCATTTGGGCCATGTTTCTTCATCTCCTCGTTTGGACAGCCTCTGGTGTTTTTTTCTGTGTATTAGGTAGAGCTGCTATGACTCTGTCTTATTAGCATGGCCTAATGTAGTAGGTGTCCTGTACGGTCCAGTGGCACAGCTTCCCCTATCAATCACCCAAGCTGGTACTCAGGATACACCCTCAGTACTCACTCCTCTTATAGTTGAACCTTGATTGCTATTGGCAGGTCAATGGGAGATATTTACTCAGGCCAGTCAGATGCAAGGATTGACTATGACCATTGATGACCAACCTCTTCCTCCGTGGAGGATCAGCTGTGCAGGGGCAGGGTGGTGGTGCTCTGAGGTGGTCTGTAGCTGTCCACTGGTTGCACAGGTTCTGGTGTTTCCCAGGTGGTGAAGGCCAAGGTCAGCCTCCCCCTGTGTTCTGCCTGGGGCCACCCTGCATGAACTACAAAATAATATGCAGATGGCTGCTACTTATGTTGTGCTTGGAGGTTCCCAGGAGAAGCCAAGCTGTGAACCTAGGTGACTATGACTACTGCTGGGCCTGGGGCCACTTAGCTCGAGTTATGGGGGCTAGGGGCTCACCGAAGCCAGCTGTTGTTTGTTTGAGAGGATTTAGAAAGTTATGACCAAGACAAGCCATTCGTATGGAAAAGTTACTGTTAACAGTTTTGGTGGGCCTGTAAGTTGAGTGATGTAGAGCCTCATGGGATCTCCATGGCAGGGTAAACAGTGTTAGCCAGGTTGATGGAGTCTCAGATAGAGCACCGGCTCTGTGGCTCTGTAGTTGGAGGGTTCAGAAAAGGAACAATGGCCTCTGCCTGCCTTTCTGTCTGGGAGTAAGCTCTCCTCCAGCTCTCACCTTGATGCCATACACTTCAGGTCCTCCTTATATGCCACTGGTGTCTTTCAAGCTGTTACCCTGGTGCTGGAGCTTAGAGGGAGTAAGTCTCAGTAAGTCTGTATGCAGGTTCTTTAAGAGGAACTGCTTGGGAATCCAAAAGTTTCTTCCACTGAGTCAGTCAATCCTCACTGGTTTATGCAGCTGGAAGTTATGGGGACTTATCTTCCTGGCACTGGAACCCTCTGCTGGGGAGCCTGGTGTAGGGCTGGGACTCCTCACTCCCAAGATATCCCTCCCTAATTTTTATCTACCACCCATGGGTGTGGGACCAGCCCATTCAGCATTTTTGTGTCTCTGTCCCTCCTACCAGCCTGGATGGATGTGGTTTCTTTAATTCTATAGATGTCAGACTTCCATTCGACTCAATTTCTGATAGTTCTGAGGGATTGTTGTTCTATAGTTTAGTTGTCATTTTGATGTGGTTGTGTGAGGAGGGGAGCTGTGCTTACCTACACCTCAATCTTGACCAGAAGTCTCCATGATCCTTTTCTAACTCCCAATTTGTCCTTTTTAATCCCTTCACCTTTTTCACTCAGTTCCCCAACCCTCCTTCCTTCTGGCAACCATCAGTCTGTTCTTTGTCTATTACTGCTTATATATCTATGAGTCTGTTTCTGTTTTGTTCACTTGTTTATTTTGTTTTTTTATATTACATATATAAATGAAATAATATAGTGCTTATCTTTCTCTGACTGACATATTTCACTTAGCATAATACCCTCTAGTGGATGTTCCTGTATTGTTCCTGATCTTAAAGAAAATGCTTTTAGTTTTACTCCAATAACTATAGTGATCGCTGCAGGTGTGTCTTACTTTCTTTGTAGTGTCTTTATCTGGTTTTGGAATCAGGATAATGCTGACTTCATACCATGAGCTTAGGAGTTTCCCCTAAGTAGAGATGTTATCCATTGGCAGCATGGGAGAGGAATCTATCACAGAAACAATGGCAATTGTCCCTGTAGCTCTCTCCCCAGAGCCAAATAACTCAGTCTTTTCTAGTACAACTCCTGTCCACTGCAAGTCAGCCCCACTCTGGTGGAGCCCAGAGTGAGTGGCTGAAAAGATTTTTTGCACTGACCTTTAATAGGGTGCCTGGTTTTCTAGAAGATGATTGTCTCTCCCTGTTGATCTTCACAGCCAAATGTTATGTAGGTTCATCTTCCTGGTTCTGGTGTTCTGGGCTGGGGATTTGAGCATTAAGTTAAGACCCCACACTCCTAAGGAGGGACCTTTATAGCTGAGATATCCCTCTGGATTCTCAACCACCACATGTGTGTGTAGGACCACCCTTTTCACATCCCCCCTTTCCTACCAGTCTTGATGTGGCTTCTGTACATCCTTTGATATGAGTCTTCTGTTCACCTAGTCTTCGGTTGGTTATTTAGGTTGATTGTTTCTATAGTTGAGTGGTAATTTCAGTTTAGTCTTGGGAGGAGGTGAGTGTAATTTTACCTACCCATCTTCATCTTGGAAACCTGAAATAATATATTCTTTTTAAAAATTGTATTTGTTTACTTTTAGAGAGAGGGGAAAGGAGGGAGAAAGAGAAGGAGAGAAACATCAATGTGTGAGAGAAACACTGATCAATTGGTTACCCCTCACACATCCGTCCCCAACCAGAGAACCAGCCTGCAACCCAGGCACACGCCTTGACTGGGAACAAACCAGTGACCTTTTGGTTGACAGTACAATGCCCAACCCACTGAACCACACCAGTCAGGGCTGAAATAATATATTCTTGAAAAACTTTAGGTTTTATCTCTATAAATTTTATCTTTATAGACTGAATCTATGTAGAGTCATCATTGTTTGGTCCTATCTTGCTTCCCTCTTTACTTTCTTCATCCTAAAACAAGCTTTTTCTCAAATTCTGTATAATCTTTAGCCTTCTTTCTTACAGTTTTTATTTGTCAATTCACATTTTGTAGCTTGGATATGTGGTAGCTGGGAGCCCAGGCTAGGTAAATTGCATTTACATAGATATCTCCTTTGTTACCCTTTATTCCTGAGGATTCCAGAGAAATACAGATTTATCATTGTTTGATCAACGAATGTGATATGGAATCTAAACCATTTTAGATTGTTCCTATTGTTAAGACATCATTATTACTTCTTCTTAGTTAATGTAGTAATTACAAAATGATATTTTATTTTCTATTCATCTTAATTCTAGAGCAAAGACTCTGACTATAAAAAACATGAAAGAAATGGAATTTAAAGTGAAGACAGAAATGGATGGCGTAAGTTTAGTTTCCTTTTCCTTGGTGCAGTTGTTAACAACTTTTGTGATTCACATAGTTTTAGGATATTAGAAACAGATAAATTATGACATTTTAAACATTATAAATGTATTTTAACTAGTTTGAACTTTAAATTTTATATATGTGACATATATACACACACACACACATATACATAGGGTCCAGCAGAAGTAAGGCCTGCTTGAGTATGTTTGGTAGAGTAATAATTTGGGTGTAATAATTTATAGATTTAATTTGAACATTTCACCTAAAATGTCATATGGTATGCTTGAGTGTGATATTGTTATGTTACAGAATTGCATGCTTATGATTTTGTAATAAAAAGGGGCATTATTTGTGCTGCACCCTGTGTGTGTGTGTATGTGTGTATATATATACACATACACACACGGCAGTTGACATACAACAAATCAGTAGAACAACTACAACAAACCTTGTATTAGCATTCAGATAAAACAATAGCATAGTTCATAGAATTACCATCCACATTAGAATCATAGTTCAGATTAAATCAGGCATTTGGAAACCTCTTTTCCATTACTAAGTTCCATAAAAGAGCCAAACTAAACAAAAGGCCATTCCAAATGATATGATGAAGGAATGAAGGAAGATAGGGAAGAGAAAAAAGAATAAGGTGAAGTCAGATCATTTTGTGACACACACAGTGAGACTGTATTATTTTTTTATTTTTTTAAAGATTTTTATTTTTATTTTTAGAGAGGGAAGGGAGGGAGGAAGAGAGAGAAAGAGAAACATCAATGTGCGGTTACTGGGGGTCATGGCCTGCAGCCCAGGCATGTGCTCTGACTGGGAATTGAACCTGTGATGCTTTGGTTCGCAGCCCGCGCTCAATCCACTGAGCTATGCCAGACAGGGCAAGACTGTATTATTAGCAGATTTAATTCTATTGGTTATGGAATGCTAATGGAGTCAGATTCTTGCACACTGCACACCTTTCCTTTTTAAGAAAACAACTTTTTTGTCTCACCCTGTTCAGTATTAGCAGGCCAATTGTGTTTGTCTTCTAGTTTTTTATTCTGAGGGATGGATAGCCAAAACAAGTTTGAAATAAGAAAAAAAATATTGCCTTGAATTTAATTTTTTTTTCCAATTGGCCTCACTTTGAACCCATTTTGTAAATGTTTGGCCAACTTTTTTTTTCTTTATTTTTTACATTTACTTGTTCTGGTACCTCGTGATTACCCTCAGAACAGAGACAACTGGCCTTCCACCAGCAGGACCAATGTCAGGGCACTTCTGAGTAGAACCGGAGTAAGACGTGTCACCAGGCATCCTTCTAGCACACCAGCAGCTGGGATTTAATAAGCCTGAGGAGATTTGCTTCACCGAGAGCTGCTTAAATTCAGAGCCTTTGAGAGTGTCCCAGTCCCAGTGTCAAGTTTCCCACCCCATGCTGCCTTTCTTTTCTTTCCAGTCTCTTTGTTTTCTTTGTTTACACTTTACGTGCAAATCTAGTGCTTTTGCAAAGTCCCAGACTGGATCTTGGGAACCTAAAGTCCTCTATGTATCGACCCCACACACAGATACATACCAATACATTAGCCTTGGCATTCTTACCTTTGAAATAGAAGTAGAGTTTAAATATTTTTATGCTTAGAGATCACTGGTTAATAACTTCTATCAAATCTTTACCTTCTCAGGCTAAACACACGAGGAAGTGAATGAAAGGATTTGTAGGAAGGTGAAAATTTTTCATGTCTTTAAACTTCAGTTGGTTACGATCCAGTCACACGCCTGAATAACAACTGTGTCACATGAAAATCTTAATTTTATTAGAATATTACACCTCACTAGTTATTTAATGTTTCTATCAAAAATAACAGGGAATAAACCTAAGATAATGTGATTTGAAGCTGAATGGCTGGGTGGAATTTTAAGCTGACCAAGTTGGCTTGGTGGTGATCTGTCATTCCTCTCTTCCATTCATGCATTCTTGCACAGCTTTTCCATACGAAACAGTCATTCTCAATTTGGGGCAGCTCTTCCCACTCAATGAATTCAATCCATTGAGAATTTATTCTCTGGTGCAATTTGAATCTTTATTCTTTAATGAATACCTATATTTTAAAAAAGTTACAGCTTATTGATTATGCTATTACAGTTGTCCCAATGCTTACCCCTTTGCCCCCCTCCGCTCAGCACCCTCGACTCCTTCAGGCAACCCCCAACCATTGTTCCCGTCCATGGGTCATGCATACAAATTCTCTGACTACTCCATTTCCTAAACTGTACTCTACATCCCCATGGCTATTCTGTAGAAAATATCGTCTTAACTGAAAACAATCTACTGGCACAATCATGTGGTGTGATTAGTGGGTGGATCTAAGATGGGGAATTTTGTGGTAATTAAATATGACAAGCCCAAGAATAGTTTTATTTTTGGTTTGTAAGAGATTTACTCTCAATTAGAAGTTGGTTTGATAATTTAAGGATTTTTGTATTCTTAAGTTACTTACAGCAAATATCTTTACTTTTTAGAGTGTACTCAGTTGGATAGCTATAGGAACTTTATGTGGTAATCTAGCTTAAATATTAACCTAATTTTAAATGTGAGAAAACTGAGGAAGGTTAAGTGAATTTTCCAGGTTCACATACTTAATATTTCTTTTATCTTTCTTTCTCTGCTTGGATGCTTGACTTTTCCCTGTGTCTCTTCTATGTAATTACTGAAGCCTGCAGAGTAATGCTTTATGTAGTTGGTATGGAGTTATCATTTCATAGAATATACCATCCTCTCAATTTCCAGGTCTGACTCCTGCCCAAAGGTCCTGGAGAAGACAGTTTCAGTTGCATACCATCAATTAGCTGCTGGGGAGACCTGAGCAAATGACAGTAGCAGATATCTTTCATATTGAAATTTTTCTTCCCTTTTTCTGTGTGCCTTACCTGAATCTTGGCAGTGTAGGGCCTAGGTCTGCCTGAAGTGAAATTAAATTCCCAATACAACCTCTAGCTTTCCTTGTCTCATTAGGGCTATCAGCCACTTGTAAGGTAATACACCAGCCAAAGGAAACCTGTGTCATTATGAAGCTAATGACTGCCAGTATGAACTTTTAGGGCATGTTTTTGTTTTTTTAAATATTCATGATTAAGTAAATAAATTTTTAAATTTTATATTGAGTAGCAGAGATACTTTTAGAAGAATAAACCTTCCTTGTACTCTGGACATTCTAGGCCATTGCAACCCCAAAACCCAATAAGGAAGGATAAGAGCCATTTTCTGAAAAGCTTCAGACTTATTTCATGGTTATTAATGTTTCTTAGTGAAGAGGATGTACATATTTTCTCCAAGAAACATGACAGTATATTAAGTTCTCCCAATATATTTCAATAATAAAAATGTTAGCTAAGAGATTGCTTCCATGACTGAGTGACATTTGGACTTGTAAGACTGAGATTTATTGGATAGAGTTATCCTTTTTTATTTTATTCAGGTCTCTGAATCTAATATTTTTCTCCTCCAAAAGGAAACCCTGCAACAGGTGAAAATTATCTCAATAAACCAACCACTTGTTTTTCTGAATGCAAAGAAGTTTCATACTGATCTGATGAATATACTCCAAAAAGAAAATGCCAGCAGTCAGCCACTTGATGATACCAGCAAGGTAGGGCCAAGTGTTTCATGGTTACATGTCATGATACAAGTAACCCTATATCATGATACTAAAAAAATTAATTAAAGCTCCTGCTTCATTCAGATTTCCTTCATTTTACCTAATGTCCTTTTTCTGTTTCAGGATTCCACCTAGAATATCACAGCACATTTAGTTGTGTTCTCTTTTTAGGTTTCTCTTTGTTGTGATGGTTGCTCAGACTTTTTGATGACTTTGACAGTTTTGAGTAGGTCTGGTTAGGTAGTTTGTAAAATTTCCCTCTATTGGATTTATCTAGTGTTCTGCTCACTGTAAGACTGGGGATATAACTTTTGGAAGGAAAATTATGGATGTAAAGTGTTGTTTTCATCACATTATACCAAGGGTACATACTGCCAGCATGATTTATCACTGTTGCTGACTGACCTTGTCACCTGGACGAGGAAGCATTTGTGAGGCTTCTCCACTGGAATGTCCACTCTCCTTTCCCCCTTTCCATACTGAACCCTGTGGAAGCAAGTCTCCAAGTCTAGTCAATACTACAGGAGTGTGCAGTCATTTTGTAGCTCCTTGAGGTTGGAGTATTTACATAAATTCTTCAAAATTCTTCAGCATAGGAGACTTCAGAGAGGTACTTTTAGGACCAGTGAAAGGAAACTCACATCTGTCTAATGTCGTTCAGGAGCTATTCCCCGTTTTGAACTATCTGAATCATCACCAGCCCCATGATATAAGGTAACCTAGTGGGGATTATTTGGTAGCCATCAGAACCAGACTTAAAATACATGATCTGCACCATTGGGTATCTAGAAAGGAAAATAGATGTTCTGTAGTCAGCCTCCAAGATAAAAACTGATTTCAAGTGAGAGATAGTGTAATTGAGCAGTTTGGAGCATGAGGTTTGGAATGTAAAGGCATGAGCTCAGGTGTTAATGCAGGTCTGACTAGCTTTGTGCTTTAGGTCAAGTTATTTAATCTTTCCAAAATTTAGAAATTTTTAAATTTTCTATCAAAATGAGATCAATAACTTCATAGTATTGTTCTGAGGATTAAATGAGGAGTGTAAAGTCCTCAAAATACAGTACTCCAAAAATCAGTTGTTGTAATTAACAATAACAATAATATATTTTGAGATGTGGATAGCATGCTATCTCTTTAGGGCATCAATTATCAATTTTAAGAATTTATAGGGTATGGAATCATTTTTATTATTCAGCATTTCCATAAAGTAAGAATGTTTCTTGGGCATTTTCATAGATCTCCAGATGAACAATTGACTTCTGTATAATATGAAATATATGGTTAGTGATTGTCTCTCAGAGAATGCCGTGTTAATGTTAATTTCTGATTGGATATACTACATGAAAACACATTAAAAATTTTAATTACTGATCAAAAATCAAAGCAAACAGTCTTGCATGACATATTTCAAAGGAGATAGTCTGACTTAATAACATAAATTATTTATTGAGCAAATTCATACTTAGAGCTAATGATCATTTTATTATTTCAGCTTGTCATATTTACTGTTCTGAAAAAATAGGCTATGAAAAATAATTATTGGAGACCAGTTATTTTTGCTATTTAAGGATAAAATAATGCATTTCTTTTCAGGGACAGAAATGAATTCTTATAATGCTATTATTCTTTATATTTATTTTTATTTCAGTGTGAACGAAACACATTGCTCATTTCTTTATCCAATGGCAGTAGTTGCAATGGTGAGTCAGTTTTTTTTTAAAAATAAAGTGTTTTGACTTGAACATACACCAGAGAATGGTACTTTCTTCCCCTTCTTCTCTCTCTGCCTCCCTCCTCTGTCCTCCCCCCGCCCCCCCCCCGCCTCACTTTTCTCCTCCCTCCACCTCCTCCCTCTCCTTCCTTGCATTTTCTCCTGTCTTGCTCCTCCCTTCCCTGCTTGGTCCTTCCCCCCTCTTCTCTTCTCTCTCCTTCTCTTCTTCCTTGTCTGTATCTTCCTCTTGCCTCTTGCTCTCTTTTAGAAGTAAACTTACGTAAAGATGTATAAACCTACACAGGATGAAGATGCAAAACTTTATTTCAATGTATTAAAATACTCAAAACACTTAAATATATGGTATTTATAAGTAAATGGAGGGAAATATGATACTCATTATTTAGTATATTCAGTATAAATGAAATTACACCTCTCTCCCATACTGTATGCCCAAATTAATGCCAAATGAATCAAAGGCCTAAGAGTGGTAGACAAAATATAAATTTAGAAAAGAATATGTACAAAAACTATAAAGCATTAAACATAAAGAATGGTTATTAAACTTCACTAGATTATTTATCCACAGCACCAAATAAAGCATGAAAAGTAAGCCAGAGTGAAAGAAGATAGATGTGACAAAGAGTTGCACGCGAACAAATCAGTAGGTAAAAGGTAGATGGCCCAATAGAAAAGCAGGCAAAAGACATGAACTGGCATTTCTCAAATGGAGACATTTCCAATTTTTCCAATAAATATATGAGAATATGCTTAACTTCACTATTATTATTCATAATAATTTTGGGGGACATGTAAATTAAATTCACACTAAATAACTAGGTAGATAACTGGTAAAATCTGACAACACCAAAGGTTGGTGAAGATGTGGGACAGCAAGGAGACTCTCACAATGCTGGTGGGCGTGTCAGCTGTTACAGCCGCCTTGGGGAATAGTTTGGCAGTGCCATGTAAAGTTGAAGACACCCATACTGTATGGCCAGCTTCTAGTTACGCATCCTAAAGAAACGAGGGCTTATGTGCAGCAAGTCACACGAGTAAGAATGTTCACACAGTATTGTTTGTAATTCCAAATCCAAAAACAGCTCACAGTTCACAAAAAAGTAGCAGGTCTATATAAACTGCATATATTTATACACTTGAGTTTTTATTTGACATATTTATTACATGGTGGAGTTATAAAAAAATGAAAATTGCATGAATCTTATAAACATAATTGGAAAAAAGTAAGACAAAGAAACATATTTTAAAAGTCCAATTTCATTTATATGAACTTAAAAAAATAAAACAGCTAAGCTGTATTAATTTTTGTATTTCTAAAGGCAGTAAGGAATCTTTTAATATTTGTACCTAGAAACATAAAAAGATTGTTCATAGTAACTTTTTAAAATAATTTCTCCAAATCTGGAAACAGCTAAAATATTTATCAACAGTACAAGAATATGTGAAATGTTTATATGAAGATAAAATTCATATTACAATATTTATTACTATATATAATGTGTTTTGAATAAATATATGACATGGAATAAAACAATAAAATCAATATTATATAAGTATATGAATCATTTGCATGACCCATATCAACATGGCTGTGGCTCAGACATTAGTTTCTCAGGTCTCTTCTGACTTCCTATGGCAAATTTTCTGTTTCTTGCCTTATGCTGTAAAAGAATATTCATGTAATACTATAAGCATTATACAATAATGTATTTAGTATATATTAGTATATAGCATATCCTATATATAATATAATTTTATAACTCTATTACACATTATATAACATGATATAATTTTACATATTATATATTGTATTATATAATATAATTATATGATATATGACACATCATATATTCTATCAAATATATAATATTATATATCATGTTATATATAATATATAACATAATGTGTATCATATAATATATTTATATGTTATATAATTATATAAAATATATTGTATGTTTTATCATACATAATATATATTGTATGTTATATATTATATTGTATATTGTGTATATAGTATATATACTAGTATTTAGTATATATATTAGTATTTAGTATATGTAGAGAGTCTGTCTAGAAGGTATCCAGCCATATAATATGAAAAATAGAGACATTTATTGAAGAAGATACAAGATACAAGAAACATTGTACACAGGACAGTGATGCCTCAGTCCCCTTCAAAGTAGGCATCTTAGGACCTCACACGGTTCTCCCAATTGCCAGCAGCTGTCCCATTGTATTTTCCCGAATCTCATCAATGGTATGAAATCTCTTCCCTTTCAAAGGTGATTAGAGTTTTGGGAGAAGCCACATGTCACAGAGTGCCAAATCTGGACTCTAGCGGGGCTGAGTCACCTGGGAGATTTCATGTTTCACCAGAAAACTCTGCATGAGACATGATGTATGAGTGGGCATATTGTCCATGAAGCTACCAATCATTAGTTGCCCATAGCTATAGCCTTCTGAATTATCTGAATAGTTTTCTTGAAGGAATGTTCAAGCTTAAGTCAAAATTTGATGCAGATTCATTGCTCTACTTGCTCAGTCATTTTGAATGCAATGGCCACACAATACACATGCTCAATCAATGGCATCTATCCTCCCCACTGACTAGTACAGTGAAGTTGCCATTGTTCACACATGTGCATTCCAATCCACTCTCCTTGGCTGCCAGGTTACATCTATGTTGCACAAACTGTTCTCATTATATTAACAATGGGAGGACTTTTTCTGGACAGACTATTATATATATTATACATTATATATTATATATAGTATATATACTATATGTGATATAGTACTTATTTAATGATCATTTCTTGAGTGTTAAACTTTTTTAGAGCATTTTTACCTCTGCATGCCTTTTTATTTCCATTTCATTATCTTTTATACTTGGCCAGTAAGTGAAAATTATAGTACACCAGATCCACTTTGCACAAGAAGAATAGCTGATGGGCACGATCACTTTTGCTATATTCTTGTGAAACCTTTGTCCCCCAGGGGCCCTTTCATAATAGTCAGAACTGGTTGACCAGAATATTTTTCTGGTATCCTTCTCCTCTTCCTTTTTCTGATGCTCCAAGGTATCCTGGGTTCTCTTATTTATCTTTGTTCAGGAACACTTCCCTGCTTTCATCTCCCTGTGCATTAAATGCTAAAGTTACATTTCCTGTTCTTGCTTTCCTTTCTCAATTTAACTCCAATTATGATTCAATTACCTACAATTCTTGGTTTTGTTACCTTCACTTTTTCACTTCTGTTGCTCTGATTCTGTGTTTAACCATTTTCAGAATGAGTCTGTACGATTTTCATATGGTTGTTTTTTTCTTCAGTGAGACACTCTTGGTTTTATTCCATGAACAGAAAATACCCAGTTTCCTTCATTTACATTAGACATAAATAATAGGTCAAGGCATTTCCTCCTATGAGGCAAAGTAGCCCAAGAATCTTCTAAACAATGGGCTGCAAGAAGCTACTGCCAATGGTTGACACTGATGCCCAAGCTGAGATGGAACTGCCATTTCAGCTTCATTCTATTTTGTGATGTAATGACAGGTTGATTTTAAGTCATCTTTACTTAAAATTTCTCTTATGCTTAAAAAAATGATGAAAGTTCCCTTCTGAAAATCAAGTGCCCACTCTTGAGCATGGCACCTAAAACTCTTTATCTTCACAAACTGCTTTTTTTTCTTTTACTACAGAGAGTACACGAGTCCTCCATCACGTTAGACAAATCAGTTAATGACCCCTAATTTAATTATCCCTGGCTCTGAGTCCTTATTTGGATTCTCTCAAATATAACCATCTTCCTTCTCTGCCAATCTAAATCTCATACTTTTTTTCAAGCTGTAATAGAGAAGTAAAATAAATTGAAAGGACAGAGTCCTTGGCAATCCCATTAAGTACAAAAATAAGTCAACAGGACCCATGCAGAGAAATATACAGTCAAGTGCAGCCTGGAATTCAGTGTCTTCAGCTGTGAAATGGAGATAATAATAGTAGGGAACCAGAGAGACTGCCATACACTTCACTCAAATATATAGTCTTATACAGTTAAAGAGTTGTTTTATTTGTGCATATTTTTCTTTTAACTAGATTGTAAGGCAAAGGATGCTTTTTTCACTTCCATTGAATTATCTTTTATTATCCAATGAACACTTGGCCAGTAAATGAAAATTATAATAACATTTGTAAAGCACTTCACAGTTTTCAATGGCCATTCTTCTTTTTAATAGTTCTGAAATAGGTAATAAGTAAATACTATACTTTCATTTTCAAATAGGTAATAGTATGCTATTCATTTTCCTGATGAAGAAGTTGAGGCCATAGGGAACGACTTGTTCTGGATCATGCCATTGGTTAGGGACAGACAGAACTAGAGACCCCAGTGAAGGCAGACATGCACATAGACAAGAACAGGCGCTTGAAGCTGGCATCCATGAGTGCTGACCTTCCCGTGGTCTGCAAGGACACAAGCAAGAAGGGTGGGCTTGTTGTAATCCAGAGAAGAAAAGGTGACAGTGCCATCTTCTGGTTTGGTCACAGGGCTATGAAACTGCAGGAAAAAAGGATGGCTTCCAGGAGATTTCAGCATGGAATGAACACAGCTCACATTGTTTGTGAATGGGGAGGGCAATACAAGCGATGATTTTGAAGCTTTTAAACTCTCATGCTGGCGTAATACAGAACCCAGGAGGATAGCTAGGAGGGAAGATATGTTTATTTTGGAAGATGGTGATTTTAAGATACTGGGAGGTGCCCTGGCCAGGTGGCTTCATTCACTGGAGCATCGTTCCAAAAGGTTGTGGGTTTGATTCCCTGTCCGGGCCCATAACTAGGTTGAGGGTTCAATTCCTTGTGGATTTATTCCCTGTTTGGGGCAGGTACTGGAGGCAACTGATTGATTTTTCTTTCTCTCTCTGTCTCCCTTCCTCTCTAAAATCAATGAACATATCCTCAGGTGAGGAT